CAGGAATAATATTTTATTGATGCCACACTGGTTTTGTGACGATACCTTACCTTTTCCCTCCGGACCCGCGCAGAGCAGCGTTCTCCCTGGCTGCTTCCGGGAGGTGGTGCAGCCTATCGCGGCACGCCTCCTCTTAAGACGCGGCGCATCAGGATTTTGCTGCGAAGAATCAAACGTGGCTACGCTCCCGGACCTTTTGGGGGAGTGGCTTTAAAGCAAATGACACCTCGCTATAAAAGGGCGCCCCTGTCCTTCCCTCAGCGCCATAGTGTGGTTCTTATTTGTTCCCTCTAGTGCTCTTGATAAATTTGTCTGTTTTCTGGTATATTGACCCTTGGCTTTCCTTACTGACTACTCTCCTCTCCGGCTCCCCGAATTTTGGCTTGGTTATTTCTTGTGTATTCCGTTTTCTGTACTCCCTTGACCTCTGGCTATTCCTTTGACTATTCTCTGACGTTAAACCCGGCCACCCTAAGGTCCGGTATACGTCTCTTTCTGGGTTACTATCTGCGTGAAGGGGTCACTGTTGTGACAGGCTTTTATGGAAATCCTCCTGCAAGAGGACCTCCCACAGTAAACAAACGTGACAACCAATCATAACACAGATTTACAGTAAACCACTCCCTTCCTCTGCCTGGGAGATAATGAGATAAGTTAAGGAATAACCCAATTATCTCTAAGCAAAGGGCACACAATTGCCCCAAAACTTAGAACACCCCTTTATACATATGGTATCCCTACAAATGACATGTCCCCTGATAGCCCTGATCTGGGAGACCAACATATTCAAATTTAACCCAGATCGGTTCAGGGGTTCTCAAAAAGTATGGAAGTCTTAGTTCACCGACCACACACGAGGCTCCTGCCCAAAATAGTTCCATGAGTTCAATGTGTGGGGTTGGTCAATTTCGAAAAAGCCAAATAAACTACTGAACCCACGAACGGAGCCTCCTGGCTCATAGGAGTGATTGTTCCCCTTGTTCGTGGGAACCAAACTACCGAACGGCGCTCTCCTAGCTGTTCAGCAACAAAAGGAAGCAGGCGTTCGTATGTTTTCAGCAGTGTTCGGGAAGTCGAGTGCCCGATTTTAGTTCCAGACACTCGACGACCAAGTCCCGCTGCCTCCTTTCATGCAAACAAGATTGCCGCCATTTTCTCCTCCACGTGGCATTCGACAATACAAATGCCCAGAGAACGCTTAATAGACGGTTCCCTTTGAAGATAATGAGCCAGGAGGATGGTCGGTGTTCGGTAGTTTAATCTACCAAACCAATAAATACAAAATAAACTAAATAAAGCAGGAAATCACAAATAAAAGAAGAAAATCCAGAAAATGTGTCTATTTTCTTCACAAGTAGTAACAGGGTTTGCTTCAGCAGGTTCACTGGGGATGTAAGCGGAGGTTAAGGCGGTAGGTAGGCGAAAAACAGCTCCCCCAGCCACCAGGACAGCTATTGTTTGCCCTGTGCGCTCCTTATCTTGCACCAAGTGTCGCTGTACTAGGGTCAGGGTAGCTCCAGTGTCATGTAATCCCTGGGCCGACTGCCAATTTACCAACACAGCTTGTCGGTGTTGTTGGCGGTTGTCCTGGATGGCTGCTTGCACAGGGTCAGCCTCATATAGTACTCCCAAATATTCCACGGAGTTGGCCTCAGCTTCCAAGTAGGTTTTCCAGAGAAGAGGAACAGGTCCCTCCTTGCTTGCTGATGAAGGCCACCGTAGTGGCATTGTGTGATTGAATCTGAACATGTTAGTGTAGGAGGTATTTGAAACTTAAAGGGACACTGTAGGCACCAAGACCACTTCAGCCCATTGAAGTAGTCTGGGTGCCAACTCTCATTACCCTTAACCCTGAGCATTTTATAAACTGCAATAATTGCCTTGCAGGGTTAAGTCCTCCTCTAGTGTCTGTCTACCAGTCATCTACTAGAGGGACTTCTGGCTTCTTAGACGAATTTTGATCATGAGGACTTCCAGCCTCACCGGAATCCCCATAGGAAAGCCTAGTCTTAACGAAAGGAATCTGTTGATGATCTACTTTTATTTAAGAATTCTTTCTCATTATTTAATGGACGTGCTTTTTTCCCTCCTGCAATTTTTAGCAGATCATCCAGTTGAGAAAAAAAAAGTCTCCCCTGTTCGAATCGCATGACACATAAATTGTGTTGGAATGCAGAGTCTGGAGACCAACCTCTTGATTCCATGGATTTTGATAATAGTTTAAGAGTTTCTGAACTAGAGTCTGCCAATAAATCGGAAACCATCCAGCAGAAGTTTGACTGGATCTTCTTTCAATTCTCCTATATATACTTTTCCAAATGAATTCAACCAAGCCTATGCGCCTTAACTACAAAATAACCTGTAATCAAGGCTTGAATAGCTGCTTCCGTTATATCAAAGGTTTGATGGAGATTAGACTGGAACCAAGACAAGAAAGAGAAAACCTCCGCTTTCTTTAATTCTTCTGCTGCCTTTTTAAAACAACAAATATTACAGTTTATTTTCATAACCATCAGGCATAGGCTGATTGCTGGATGCACAGGAATGTAAAGACATTTTCGTTTTTCCACAGGTTTCTCTGAAGTCTCAGGATTAGACATACTAGAAAAAAAGAGAGAGATTCCCTAACTGTAGTACACATGGGACAAGAGACCTAAAACGGCCTCTGGGTGTGCTGGAGGGCTGGTGCAAGCACACCTACAACGGAGCTAAACATCATCCGGCTGCCAGGTAGTTGTGACTGGGTTTAAATACTCTTCAAGGCTTTCCTGTTTGAATTTGGCGCCAAAGCTCCGAGCAGTAATTAGAGTATAAATTGCAGGTGCCCAGCATGCGTTTCAGCGCTTAGAAGAGGGAAGAGCACTTTCTCTAATGTGGGGGGTGGGGGGGAAGATGGATGACAACCAGTAGTTAAAATAAATATTTGTGAATGGAAGATGAAACATCTAACCAGAGGCATAACTAGAAACCACGGGCCCTGGTACAAAAATTGCCCTGGCCTGGCCCCCCCCACATATACAAACATACACACAGAGAACCATACATACATACACACAGACATGTAGACACACACTAATAAATACATACAGACACACTAACACACACACAAAATGTTTAAGTCACCCTCCTGTTTCCTACCTTTTAGATGCAGCAGGGTTACTTCCCAGTGGTGGCTCAGTCTGATGGGAGTCAGAGTTCCCACTCTGACTCCTGCGCGGCTCCCGGTGGTTACAGGTAGGAAGTGACAGTCACTTACTCCTTGCGCTTTGACCTCATCATAGGGGGCCCGGTTGGCTGTTAAAGCGCCACTGAGCTGCCTTGATATTCATTGCCATCAGGTGACCCCAACAGCATGGGCCACCCGATGGGCCCCTTAACGTGCTTCCCCGGCGGAACTACCGGCGACTGCGGTAGTTCCGCCACTGCATCTAACCCATATTCCGCAGTAGCTTTTATTCAGATCAGTCATGAATTGAAAGTGTTCAAATTTTAGATGCTGTAGCAGGTGTTATAAAATGAATACATGTGACATGACATACATTCAGTGTTTTATGAGTGGCTTTCTCTATTTTATATATTTTAGCGTGTGTGTATAATTTATTTATTATTTCAGTTGAGAATCTTAAATGTGAAGGTAGATAACATGAGCACAGATGGGCTAAAAACGTTTCTTTAAAGAATTATTTTGTGATGCAAGGTAGGTACCCTTCCAGCAGTTTAGTCATCTAAAACACAGGCTCCATTAACATTTTCTTTATAAATATACCTAGATTGAAAATAAAAGGTCAAGTTCCAGATACTAGGATAAATTGTTTAGCATTTTTATCTGAGAATATATTACTACAAGCCATAAAATGAATGTGTATAAAGACTTTGGGGAAAAAACAGGTTTAAATATCTTGGTATAGCAGAGGCCCACCTGTAACTTCTGGATTAAATTTTTCATGGCATATTGGGTGGTGTGTTTTTTTTCCCCCCTTCTTGTCCTCAACACGAATTTAAAATTCACGTGCACGTTTAAATTTGAAATTCGGGCATTCATTATTTCTGTATAGGGCGGGGTTTAGTAGTAATCAGATTGCCATGTTAAGGATACCAAATTGAAGATCTATATATTAAACAACAGCTCACTAATTTGGTTCCTTATATGGAATTACCTATTAAAAGCACACCACAGTAAGGAGCAATCTGCTAAACAGTTGAAAAAAAAAAAATCTAAAAAGTCCTGTTTCTTAAAAGAACACTATAGTCACCAGAAGAAAAAACAAAAACAAACTACAGCTAAACGTAGTTGTTCTGATGAGTATAACCTGTCCTTGCGGGCTTTTTGGTGTAAAAACGGTCTTAGAGTATAGACACGCCAAGACGTTCAGCATCTCAACACTCTGCATGGGAAGCTGTACTTTTCACATAGAGATACAGATTTAATGCATCTCTATGAAGAGATGTCGATTAGGCAGGGTTGCGCTTGACCCGCCCCGTCTCCTTGTCTGAGAATCAGAATCGACCATCTCAGCTAAGCCAATGCTTTCCTATAAGAAAGCATTGTGATTGGCTGAGATCCTCAATTCTGAAGATCTCAGCCATTTAAGGAGGGCTAGTATGTTTGTTTTTGTTAACACTATACAGGCAGGAATACACATTTGTGCTCCTGACCCCGATCGTGTTTCTTTAAATTTGCTCTTTTAGTTGCTTTGTAGATAAGTCCCTAGTTGGAAATTCTTAACTAGGGTAATTTCACGTAAGGATACCAAATTAAGGAGCTACCAAACAGCCCAAAAAAAAAAAAGCCCTAATTATACAGTTTCAGTAGCCTAGAAGACGAATCCCTAATTTGCAATCTTATTAAAAAATAAATCCGCATAAATTCATTCCGAATTCTTTCGTTTTTGGTTTGTTTCATATTGTGCCAAATTGTGGATGAAGGTCTACTTTTCAACATGAGCGTGACCTTTCAATGTTACATGACAGACAAATAATAAAACAATCAAAAACACAAATGTGAAGTAGAATAGGATTTATTGGTCTGAACAAGCTTCACTGTACAAGGAATAGATGCCAATTAGAACCACAGATTGCTTAGTGATACTTCTTCGAACGGTCGTGTTCTGCAATACAAAATGCTCACAGTAACTACAAATTTCACTTAACATAAAAGCTTTTGGTAGGGGCTGCCATTGTCCAGTAAAAGGTACACAAACTACACACAAAAAATGTTCCAAATTTAAATGGGCAAAACTCCAAAATTTAAATTAGAGATAAGTCCAAATTATGCGCTGAAATGAATTCTAGTGTGTATTTAAGTGTCTGCTACAAATACATTCTATGTAAACGAAAAGAGATATAGACATAAACTGAATTTGATCATCAGCAGTGAATGTCAGGCATCGACTGAGTAAAGTCCCTTTGGGAACTGCTGAAACCAGTCTTTTAGGTTTCCAGCTACTAATGCAAAGATGTAGAATTTGAAAGGTTATTTTTCACACAGCTTTCAACCTTTTTTTTTTTTTTTTTTTTAAATGAAAATGGATGCCTTTTTTAAACTGACAAAAATAAAGACGCTATGTGAACTACAGTTTTGCACAATTAATTTGATAGGAAATTAAGCTTTTAGTAACAGCAAAAGTCTTAAGAAGACTAAATAGATTTAGTACAAGGAGTCTGCCAATTCTTTATTTTGTGGTCACTTTCAGTCAGTAGAAATAGGTATCTCCTAAGTACTACATGTGAAAATGGTTGGTGCGATTTGTGCCAGAGAGATTGAAAAATCTTTTAGGCAATATATTAAGAGGAAGGATGGTTACATATTAGTGGCTGAAAGGGAAGGCACACATTTTCACACTCTCCAGTAGAATGTCAAGCATTTAAAGAGGAGAACACAGAGCTTGTTGACTTCATTAAATAGTTTCCTGTAGCATTTACTTTGCAATGTAGAGAAACAAATTTCTCTTCCAGGTAGTCAATCCTTTCCTTATACTTCTTAACATAGGCCTTTAATTCATTCACATTTATCTGCTTCAGCATTGATACAGCCAGGAAACCAGTTTACACAAGTTCTTTAAAAGGTACACTCCAGACCATAGACGCACTGCAGCTTGCTGAAGTGCTCTATGTTTGAAGAACGTGTCCTCTTCCCCAACCCTCTATCTTACAAAATGTGCAGATTCAATAAACACTGTCACTTTAACACAGTTACAACCCCCACCCCCCCTTACTATTCAACCAACCAGTTCCATCACTGGTTGCAGAAACAATTTGCGCATAAAGACTTTTGGAGCTGCATTGGACTTTTGGCATGGGTGATTTTTATTACTTTTTGAGCAGTGGAGTGTCCCTTTACAAAAATAATTTAGCAAAATTTACTGGTGTCTGTTTGGACACCAGGTAAAAACCCTCAAAAAGGGAGGTATGGAAGTGTTACTTACTTATGTGATCGTACTCCCAGACGTAACTCAGCACTACATAGCCAGCTAGAAGCATGGTTAATCCTCCAATGCCTCCCTTTCTGACATTTATATACTTGTTATAATATCCATTGTAACCTGAAGTAAAAATATATAAAAATAAATAAAATAAAAATGAATGGTTATTTGAATATAGATGTAGATAAGAATAGATGAAAGCAAATTGCTATTGCTGGAGAAAATACAGACATGACAATGTCTCTTTTTCCTGCAACAGCAGTTTGATTTCATCAGTACATTGAATATAAGCCTAACCTTTAAACAAGAAAAATCCCAAGGAACTTTAGAAGAACAAAAAGACAAATAAATATACAGAACGAGGTTAATGAAACGTTTGGCACCCAATTGTTGGAATGAATTTGAAATTTCATACAACTCCTCATAAGGTGACTAAGTATATAGCATTTTACAATAAAAGTCAACTGACTAGACAAGCACAGATCCCAAAAGGAATATTAACCACTTAATGACAACTTCTAGAATAAAAGGGAATCATGACAGAATATTTCCGTCATGTGTCCTTAAGGGGTTAAGGGATTCCCCCACCCCCCGGTAGAATATGAATACTGCAAGGGAGCAAGTTTTATAGGCAGCCCATAAGCACGAAGAAGTGATATGTTGAAGGAAAATACATTGGGCCTGGCAACGCTAACTGAAAGGGGTAGAGCATTTGGTAATGTTCATTCAATACTAACCTTTCCGGATACCGGCTATAATGCCATTTGGTGTAAAGTCACGACTGGCCAGCCAGGCAGGCACCTGCCCCACTTTAACATCCAGTAAACGTCTCTCTGCAATGGGCACTAAAGCAACACAGATTAAGACAGGTTACTCTACTAATTCAGAGTATGGCATGTGACTGTAATACTTGTTAGTGTAACTAATTAAAGGAACACTTGTATTTTTTTATTGCAATCAAGACAATGTAATTAAACTTAAAGGACCACTATAGTGCCAGGAAAACATACTCGTTTTCCTGGCACTATAGTGCCCTGAGGGTGCCCCCACCCTCAGGGACCCCCTCCCGCCCGGCTCTGGAAGGGGGAAAGGGGTAATAACTTACCTTTTTCCAGCGCTGGGCGGAGAGCTCTCCTCCTCCCCGCCCCGCTGAATGCGCACGCGCGGCAAGAGCTGCGCGCATTCAGGTCGCATAGGAAAGCATTTACAATGCTTTCCTATGGACGCGTGCTCTCACTGTGAAAATCACAGTGAGAAGCACGCAAGCGCTCTAGTGGCTGTCAATGAGACAGCCACTAGAGGATTAGGGGGAAGGCTTAACCCATTCATAATTATAGCAGTTTCTCTGAAACTGCTATAATTATGAAAAAATGGGTTAACCCTAGCTGGACCTGGCACCCAGACCACTTCATTAAGCTGAAGTGGTCTGGGTGCCTAGAGTGGTCCTATAAGTACAAGAAAAAAAAATGAAGATGGTAGAAAAACAAAAAAGCAAAATAGAGAAAAATATAAACTTAGAAATAAATCACCATATTGAGGTGAGGTTTAAAAAAAAAAATATATATAAATAAAAACAAAAATTGGTAGATGCAGTTTCTATTATTGAGGGTATATTAGCTTACAACAGCTGCGGCTATTGGATGCGCCTTTGTCAGTGAGTTTACCAATCAGAGGCTTCTCACTGACTTAAATTGAGCTATAGATTTGGTTTAACATCTTACCTGGGATCTGACAGGTCTTGCTCCCTGCCTTCACTACTTATGATGTCTGTCTGAGCTAAACCATGCAGTTCAGGGCTTAGCTTATTGGCTGAGAGCTCAATCAGCATGAACTAGCCCTGCATTGCTGGGTTTAGCTCAGGAGAGCTAACAGAAGCTCATGCATTAGCACTAGTGAAGGTGGGGAGAGGGACAACAGCCGACTGCAGATAATAAGTGTGGGCAGGCTATAGACAGTATCAACTATGGATAAAGCATAATAAAAGGCAGACAAAGTTATTAGACCGGATAACAGCGGTGACATTGCCAAGGTCACAGCCTCTACACTGACACCGTGGCTTTAGCTTGGTTTCTTTTCACTCTATATCAGCAGTGCAGGTCAGTGAATGCTGAATGATCTTTATAAACCTGCAGGGAGCAGAGCCTATCACAGTGACAAGGTTAAGCCGTCACAGCAATGTCACGGAGACAGAGCGTGCGGTAGGGCGGCTATGGGGGGGGGGGGTTATTAAATACTGCCGCCTGCCTCCTCCATGCACCGTTGCAGTGACCGCTATTAACCTACCCGGTTTGTCCGCCATTTTGAAGTCCGAATGTCAAAGCTGCTTCTCTGCGATACGCGACGGGCCTTAAAAGACAGCGGGGGGCGTGACCGGAAGCGGGTCGCTGCGTTCTGACGTAACTTCCCGGCGGGGCGGGGGCGAGATGGTGTTCAGAGAGGACGCGTTGTTAGTTCGTGATCGCGCTGCTCGCGGCGTGCATGACATTTCTCTCACAGTTACCCATTAACCATGTAACGGTGAATTAAGATTAGACAAATAAGAACGTGTGACAAGATTAGTGTGAGGATTATACTGAAACCAAACTGGGCCGCCATCATTACACACAGCATTACCAATACAAGCCGTGTGTGTGACACAGCCCGGTGATAGCGCTCCACAGTCATGGTTCCTTGTTTAACCCCTTAAGGACACGGATTCCCTTTTATTCCACAAGTTTGGTCCTTAAGGGGTTAAAAGGAATCTAAGCACCATGACCACTGTAGAGCAGAGCTGCCCAAAGATGGCGTAGAACTACAACTGCAATGATGCTTTGCCTGGCATCATGGACATAGTTTTAAAACTTGTTGGAATTTACCTTTTGGGCACCATGGTATTCCCACGGTATTAGAGAGCTATCTACCAAAAGGCTGAAAGACCTAAATTGGTCTTTCAGACAAATTTACTAATACTAAGTAAGAATTGCTTACTATTGAAAAAAAAAAGCCCCCTAGTGTCCCCCCTGCCGTACGAATAGGGGTTACTAAAGTGAAGGGTGGACCTAGCGCCCCCCTCAGGCCCCCACCCATCAGCTGTGGGTGGAGGCCATAAATGAAAATGAGGGGGACCTATTGTCCCTGGCTCCCTCCCATCAGTGGCGGGTGGGGGCCCTAAATGAAAATGGGGGGGTAAACCTATTGTCTGAGCCCCCTCCCATGAGCGGTGGGTGGGGGACCTAAATGAAAATGTGGGGACGATGCTATTTTCATTTAGGGCTCCCACCCGCCGCTCAATCAGTGGGGGCCGGACGCTAGGTAAAAATAGGGGGACATTTAGATGTAGTGGAGTCGTGAGTGGGGTTAAAAAACAAACGGGATTCAGACATAACAGTGCCGCTTTAAATTATTTTCTCATGGTTTTCCTGATCTTGAATATTGCTCATGTGAGCAAAAGTTGCAGTTCACTCTGGACTAGGTCCAAAATTCACCATAGACATTTAAAGACAGAGAGGTCAGTAGAGGGGTGGGGCCGAGGTGGCATGTTATGTCATAATCAATGATAAGATATAGATTAAGGAACAGTGCACACACAAAAAAATACAATTTTAAATCTTATATAAGTCTACTTACAATCACCTATATTAGCGAACAAATATGGATGGAACAGCAAAGCTTGGGGAACAGGACCTTAACAGAGCAAAGAGGCAGGTATAAAGATTAGAAATGGTTTAGTGGTCAGTGGGGGATTGGGTTATGGTATATTTAACTCAGCCAGCTTGTGTAAATTGGGCATTTTAATTAGTATTTGTCTTCAGGATTGTGTAGATTATTTTTTTGTCTTGCAGATGGAGCCTGCAATGCCGGATGGGAGATTGGAGGCCTTGCTGGCTAGGACCAGGGCAGCAGAACAGGAGCGCGGCATGGAATGGCTGCAGGAGCAGCTCGGATCTTTGGTGTCATCCGCTACTACTACATTGAAGGTGCAACAGCCCATGAGGCAGATCAGGCCGCCTCAGACTTTGAGCCCCAGCGATGTTCCCATATGGAAACGGAGGAGGAGTCCATCACGAATGATCACTGCATCCAGCGGACCGGAGGGCCACAGGAGGTGAAGTTCGCTTGTGGGAGCTGTATCGTGGCGGCTGGTGCACAACAAGGACTGGGTTGCTGAGTTGGAGGCCGGCCTGAGTGATGGAATTCTGCACCGCACGAGGGCTGGCAGGTACACTACAGGAAAGGTGACGGCAGGCTCCCGAGGCACAGGGGGCTCTGCCAGGAGAAGGAGCTATGCGGATGGCGGCCTGGGGGCACAGGGTGAATTGCCCCCCAATAGACAAAAATATATTTATTGTGAAAGGCGTGAGGAAATGGCTGGGGGTCCGCCTGAAGTATATGACAGCAGTGGAGCAGTTATGACTGGGCAGGGCTCAGGTACGAGGAGGGGCCTATCGGCTTTCCTGCCTCATGCAGGGGTTGTTGGCACAGAAGTCAGAGATAACAGAGGCCACACCACAGAGAGCATCAGCAGGTCCCCCACCATGGCGCCCAGTAGCGGGGTTGTCAGGCGCGAGCACAATAGCTGGTCCGGGAGCAAGCAGCACAGTGAGTGGCACCAAGGGCCAGTGCAAGGATTTTTAGCTACACAGGCGAAGACGCATTTTGACGCCCCCCTTTAAAAAAAAAAAAAAAGCATCTTCACCTGTGTGTCTCGTAACCCCCCTTTTGCATTTTTTACCCTCTTTATTGTATTTTATCCCCCCTTTACTATGTATTACACCCCTTACAACCCCACTTACAACCCCACTTGTGTATCTCAGTCCCTTTGTGTGTCTCTTTCTTCCCCCAGGGGCTGAGAGGGGTGGACAGGAGCTGTGGTGGGGGGCAAATCAGGTTGCATGGGCTGAGAGAGGGGAAATGGGCGGTTGTGAGGGACGCAGGCCCTGAGAAGGGGTGACACAGGGGCTGAAAGGGGGACACAGGGGCTCTAGTAAGTGGGGGCAGGATCTTGAGAGGAGGGTGGGCAGGAACTGGAGAGGGGGGTGGAAAGAAGCTGAAGAGGGGGGTGGAAAGAAACTGGAGAAGGGGGTGGACGGGCAGGTCAGGAATCCTGTGTGCGGCCTTCCCCGTTTTTCGTCTACTTGCAGGTCTACAAGTCCGTTTCCCATGGCCCCGATTCAGCGCCAGGCTGATAGACCTCAAACCGTGGGGACTACTGCTGGAGTCTCTGATGCAGGTATACGGACTGCAGCCCCAAGGTCATCGACAGCTGGAGGTTCGGCCTAAAAAGGACGACCAAGCGCATGTCCAATGTTAAGCCCACCATTACGTCACTGTACCCTAAAATATGGGTGGGTCCTACACTAAATGTAAACAGTTTCCAAAGACTCTCCTAAAACGCTTTCCACAGGAAATTTAACTACATCCTTGTCTCTGGTGTCCTCAATAGTGGGATACCAGAGTACAAAAGTGGTACAGGTGTGTATGTATCTAGGTGCTGTAGTGTGTATGTGTGTACTCGCACGCATACGGGAGACTACAAAACTGACCTATGATGGACGAGCCATAGTGAGATAATGCCTAGTGACAGGTGGGGAAAGTGACACTTGAAGGCAGTAGCTACACCTTTTGTCAAGTTTTGTCATGTTGCCAGGGCAAAATTTTCACTCACCTATGCTATAGCCTTGTTAGACAATATTCTTTCATGGAACTATGCTGACATAATTTACTTCCAGGAAAGACTAAACAGACTACAATTTCCATTCAATTTGAATTATCTGTTGGTAGATTTTCACTACCATTTCATCTGAATGGGTGGCCATGTTCTAGTTCCTTGCCTATTAGGTTTTTGTGGTTGTTGGCAGTCTTTGCCTGGAACACATGTCACTTCTGGATAGAAAGCATCTAACTTTTTAAATGTACAAAGAGGGACACTTTAACTTTAGGGATGTGATTGGAGGTCTGGCCAAGTGTGGGGCTATTCTGAGAAATTTTAGGTGATTTACTACTAACAATGTATGATACAAAGCTGACCCAATATCTCTAAAAATGTTCAAGAACTGCTGAATGCTGTTGGAGAAAGTCTCAGTCTGCACCTGACTTCCTCCACTATAAATGTATCCTGCGCTTCTACACTCTGGCTCTTTCCTCTGCAAAAGTAAATAACTTCAATGCCCTCATAACCACACTCTTCTGCCAACCCAAACAACTATTTCACACTTTTAATGCTCTCCTTCGCCCTGCTGCTCCCCCTCCTCCTAGCATCCTGTCCGCCTCAAACTTTGCAACTCACTTCACTGAGAAGATTTCTACAATCAGGGAAGAGATCTCTAACCTCTCTTCCTCCCCTTCCAATACATCACCCAACCCCAGGATAATATTCAGGAATTCATTGGGAAGAAATGTGTTATTAGCAATAATCAGCATGGTTTTATGAAACATAGGTCATGTCAAACTAACCTAATTGCATTCTACGAAGAAGTAAGTAGAAGATTAGATCAGGGTGTTGCAGTGGATGTGATCTACTTGGATTTTGCCAAGGCATTCGATACCGTTCCTCACAATAGGTTAGTCTTCAAACTAAAAGAAATTGGTCTAGATGAATATTCTTGTTCTTGGGTAGAACATTGGCTTAAGGATAGAGTACAACGAGTTGTCATTAATGGTAAATTTTCAAGCTGGACAAAAGTGGTAAGTGGTGTCCCTCAGGGTTCTGTTTTGGGACCGCTTCTATTTAACATATTTATATATGATCTTGAAATGGGCATTGAAAGCCATGTATCAGTGTTTGCAGATGACACAAAACTTTGTAAAGTAATAAAATGTGAGCAGGATATTGCCATGCTGCAGAGGGATTTGGATAGATTGGGGGACTGGTCACTAAAATGGCAGATGAAATTTAACATAGAGAAATGCAAAGTTATGCACTTCGGGGTTAAGAATGCACAAGCAATTTACACCCTAAATGGCAGTGAACTAGGGATAACCACACACGAGAAGGATTTGGGAATTGTTATAGACAACAAATTAGGCAGCATTATGCAATGTCAATCTGCCGTTGCTAAGGCCAGTAAGGTTTTGTCATGTATAAATAGGGGCATAAATTTTCGAGATGAAAATATAATTTTGCCTCTTTATAAATCGCTGGTAAGACCACACCTTGAATATGCTGTGCAATTTTGGGCACCCGTTCTAAAGAAAGATATCATGGCACTAGAAAAAGTGCAGAGATGAACTACAAAATTTATAAAAGGAATGGAGCATTTTAGTTATGAAGAAAGGTTAAAAAATGTAAATCTCTTTATTTTGGAAAAACATTATACAAATATATTCTGGGCCAGTACAAACCATTATCTGGAAATCTATTCATAAACAGGGCTATACATAGGACATGAGGTCACATATTTAGGCTGGAAGAAAGGAGATTTCATCTAAGGCAAAGAAAATGTTTTTTTACAGTAAGAGCAATAAGGATATGGAATTCTCTGCCTGAATAGGTGGTTTTGTCAGAGTCTATACAGATGTTTAAACTGCAATTGGATAAATACTTGCAAAAACATAACATACAGGGATATAATTTCTAATTAGTGGGGTAATAGCTGCTTGATCCAATGAGACATCTGACTGCTATTTTGGGGCCAAGAAGGAATTATTTCCTAGTTTGTTGCAAAATTGGAAGCGCTTCAGACTGGGTTTTTTGCCTTCTTTTGGATCAACAGCAAAAACATATGTGAGGAAGGCTGGACTTGATGGACACAAGTTTCATTTCAGCTATGTAACTATGTAACTATATAGAGACACTTGGTATTGAACAAGATGGTTGGGATGGTTCCAACGGAAATGTTATGCCCTTACTTAATTAAAATGATTACCCACTGCTCATGCCCTTTGCCTTGAGCATGTAAACAAAAGGCATCACTTGTTCAAGTCTAAGAAACTGGTATGAAATTGAGGCATTTTTCAACGTTATGCAATTTTAGTCTAGTTTTAATACAGAGGGTTCAACAGGCTATGAGAAACACCTGCATTGCATTTGTCATGTGCCAGTAGCTCATTTAAAAAATAACCCAATGCAGTAAATATTGCGGAAAAATATTGTCTGCAAGCAGGTGACACTGCTATCATTTCAACACAAATACTTAGAATGTAAGGCTAGATAGGGATTCACCTTCATGAATATTATTTAAAAAATCTAAGCATCGGGGCAAGTTACTTAATTGTAATAATACAAGCGCTTTTATGCTATATAATTATGGAGATATACGAGGGACAGCAGTGTTAAAGAACACTTGTCAATTATATGGGCTTGTACTGGATAACATTGACACAGCAGCAAAGCCAAGGGCAAAGTAAAATTTAAGGTTGCTTATATAATGCATGGCATGACTCCAATTCTAAATAAGGGACATGCATGGCACTAGGTGGGATTTATAATAATGAACACTGACACTACCTAAGTATAACCAGAATTGTCGTTTACTATTGCTCGTGGTCAGCAGTACACTGCACGAATGCAAGTTTTATTCTGCTACTTAAACTAGGTTGCTTGCTGTGAATTAATTTGAGGACTCGAAGAAGAGGGGGGAAGACAGAACTAGAGTAATGGCCAATAAAAGTCTAGTGTACTTTTTCAGAAAAGGCAAAACGGATAGCAAAATGTTACATATATCTAAATGTATTTATGTATCTTTTTCAGAAAATTAGAATATGCAGGTTAGTGTTTTATTTAATACAGAGGTGGAAGAAATAAGGTAGATAATGTTTAAGAAACAAAAGTGTCCTCACAGATTGTGAAAATAGCACTTAAAAATAGTCATTTTTAGGTAGCAGCTGTGGGCACACTCAGAGGATATTCAAACACAGCAAATTAAACAAAGGAGTCCTCACAGTCTTGTAGAACTTTATTTGGTTATATAAGTTTGGAATCACTTATGCACTTTTTTGTATGGTTACAGATGAAGTTTAGTATAGGACTAGGTGCATCTGATTTCTTTGCACAACACAATAGCTGACTAAAAGCTGGCCATGTGTTATATGATTAACACGATAAGGATGAAGGAAATTGTCCAAGTTCTGAACCAAAAGTAAGGTATGTCTTTTTGCTGATGATACTAAGATATGTAACAGGCTTGATGTTCTAGGAGGCGTAAGCCAAATGGCAAATGATTTAGGTAAACTTGAAAAATGGTCAGATTTGTGGCAACTGACATTTAATGTGGATAAGTGCAAGAGAATGCACCTTGGATGTAAAAACCCAAGGGCTGAGTACAGAATATTTGATAGAGTCCTAACCTCAACATCTCAGGAAAAGTATCTAGCGGTAATTATTTCTGATGACTTAAAGGTAGGCAGACAATGTAATAGAGCAGCAGGAAATGCTAGCAGAATGCTTGGTAGTATCGGGAGAGGTATTAGCAGTAGAAAGAGGGAAGCGCTCATGCCAATGTACAGAACACTGGTGAGACCTCACTTGGAGTATTGTATGCAGTACTGGAGACCGTATCTCCAGAAGGATATTGATACTTAAGAGAGAGTTCAGAGAAGGGCTACTAAACTGGTCCATGGATTGCAGGATAAAACTTACAAGGAAAAGTTAAAGGATCTGAACATGTATAGCTTGGAGGAAAGACGAGACAGGGGGATATGATAGAAACATTTAAATACATAAAGGGAATCAACAGAGTCAAAGAGTAGACTATATTTAAAATAAGAACAGTGACCACAACAATAGGACATAGTCTTAAATCAGAAGGGCAAATGTTTAAAAATAATATCAGGAAGTTTTATTTTTCTGAGAGGATAGTGGATACATGGAATAGCCTTCCTGCTGAAGTGGTAGAGGTTAACACAGTAAAGGAGTTTAAGCATGAGTGGGATAGGCATAAGGCTATCCTAACTATAAGATAAGGCCAGGGACTAATGAAAGTATTTAGAAAATTGGGCAGGCTAGATGGGCCGAATGGTTCTTATCTGCCGTCACATTCTATGTTTCTATGTCCAGGACCCTCCGGGCAGACTGGATGTGCCGTCACATTCTATCTTTCTATGGGTTTGTTTATCCATCATTTGAGGGGTTTACTTTAAGTGCCCTCATACATGTTCTATATTGCTTATTATAGGACAGAAAGTGCTTTCTTTTAATATCCCATATGTATACCTAACACAACATTAAGTGTGAATAAAATGAGGAATTTTTATGTTTTCAGCATTTTTGTTTAGAATATTTTTTTACACTGTGAAGGACAGGACTGTAACATAACTATGGTTATGTTACTGGTCTGTCATCATGGCAGGCCTATGTTGTCCCTTGTTTTGCCAAAGATGCCAGGAACCATAATGATGTTCCCCTATTGCTTTTTGTACAAAGCATAATTCTAAAGGTAAACTGACTCTGCAGGATTACATTGTGTCAGAGTAAATGAGACAAGGACATTGGTTGATGGTTTACCCCTTGCAGTGCATGCACCTCCTTAGTACACAATTAGGGAGACAGAGTGTGGTCTTTTAATTGGATTTGTATGTGTTTCTTGAAGCATCCAGGTATATTGTTGTTGTCCACTATAGAGTAGTTGCTCCTAGAGAATTGCTAGTGGACTAGATAGATAGAATATACTATATGAGCTGGAGCTATCCGTGCACAATATCCTGTATTGCCAGTAGATACACGATTAAAGTAACGAGTCTTAGCGCTTAGTATAACGGTTAGCTGTGCAGGTTCGCAAAAGATACCCCCAAAAAATAACGTGTCTGAACTGCTTTACCTTCTGTAGCAGAGACACCAGCTCTGTATTGTCACATACACATCCAGTGCAATTTAAAAAAAAAACCCTCAAAATAGATTTAGTCCTGATTGTTAAATGCCTTGTATGTCTAGGATCTAAATTCATTTTTGGCAGTTAACACTATCCATATACCAGCCCCAATTGCTATACCAACTTTACCCCTAACCCTATGCTAACACTAACTATCCATTCACCTGCATTAGCCTTACCACAAACCTTAATACTACAAAATCGCTAACGATAACAGCATTAATTCAAACGCTAATGCTAACCCTACACACACTCTAAAACTAACTCTGAGACCCTCTGCTAATATCAGTACTGATAAAAGCAGATGGGTTTCCTAGTTAAAGCAGTAAAGCGATTTTACTGCTTTAACTAGGAAACCCATCTGCTTTTAAATATATATATATATATATATATATATATATGCTGTAATCATCTACTTGCGGTTTTCAGCATTACAGGGATAGCCCTGTAATGCTGAACATCAGGCATGACGATATGTTGTGATTGGTGGTGGGAGAAGCTGTCATGGTGTGTTCAGACCCTGGGGATCTCCCTTGAGCACCTACTGAGTGTGATCTGCTCAGCCATGGAGTTCTCAATGGATTTAAAGGGCTACATGACCTTTGAATGCTGCATAAATCTCATTGGTCAGCCTTGGGCCTCTAAATGTGGCCCTAGCTTCAGAGGGGAACGCCATCGCTTGATACCTGGGTCTCACTGGTGTTATTTAACCCTGCTCACAGCAGGGAATTAGCAATAGGCAACAGCACATCTGTTGATCTGAGGCCACTAAAAATAGCCCAAGGTGACATAGAGGAGCTCCAAGTATCTATTTATTACCTGGTTCTCCAGGTGCAAGCAGGGATTCAACTTTGCATTGTAATAGTTCTGCAGCTCATCTGTCAGTCTAGGGCCACTAAAAATGGCCTCAGTTTACAGAGGGGAACCCCAGGTATCAAGTGATACTTCGGACTCCTTGATGTAAGTGGAGATTTAACCCTGCTTACACTTGAACGTGCATGCACTTGTACAGTATTTCTTAACGGGTGCTTAAGTGCATATGTGCATGCACCAAGAATCAAAGGGCGATGATGTCACTCTGGACACAAATGGGCTGCAGAGGGGGTTAGTGGGCAAGGAACTATGACTTCCATAGAAATCATAATTGCGTTTTAAGAATGAGAATTATACTATGGTATTAGGAAACGGCGTAATCCATAAAATTACCAAAATGTTGATGAGCAATAGATTTAATGAAACAGGAATTAGAGGTTTAGACAATTCTCCAGCATCCAGCTTGGGTGGTGTAATTGCACTTATGTACATTGTAGAATTGAATGCATATTGTATGTTTTAGACTTCATCCATTTACATGCACACTCTCCCCAAGCATAAGGATAATAATCCCTGTTTAGGAATTATCCTGTAATAACAGATGGCATGTAATGCCAAAATAAAGATTACACATGCCCAGTTACTATAATTCAGGGCTTGAGAGCCTGAAATGAGAACTGCTATCACCCAGAATATTGCTGTCTGCAAGACTGCCATCCTGTATAAAAATTTTACAAGAAAATTAAAGGTACCATTTAAATTACTGGCTTGGTGATTGTTGCAAGTGCCACGATCCCGATTAGTTAGTTAATTTGTTCTCAATTTCAAGTCCATGTGTATATGAGCAGCAAATTATATTTATAGTCCATATAACTGTAAAAAATTTGACTGAGCCAGCTGTTGTTAAAATGCTGCATTGTACCCCCAGGAGCAGGCTTTATTATGATGTGCCAGGCACTGTCTCCCAATGAAATCATCAAGGGATTACTTGTCATATGTGATACTGCACCAGTCAGATCTACATTATGATTGACAGGATGTTAGATTGAATTGAAAATGAAAACCGGGAGAGGGATTTCAGGAAGTAAAGTTTATGAAGACGAAGTAAAGCAGCATTGGTTAAAAATAATAATAATAATAATACAAAAAAATTATATTTATATAAAGAGAGAGGATCATGGGTGAGGAGGGAGAAAGCACATACATTTAAAAGCCCACAGGAAAATGTCAGGTGAAAAATATAGCTGTTTTTTCAAGCAACATTGAAATAGTTCTGCATTCATGAGAGTGGTGGAGTCAGTATAGAGCAATTAAAATATATACAGTTGAAAATAAAGCCTCTAGCTTTTCAGGTAACTGGGAATTTATGGACTTAAAGGGGAATGCAAAGGCACTATAACCACTGCAGCTCTCTATGCTACCAAGAGTCCACTGCCACTATCCAACAGTGAGTAGTCAAACTGTTTTTAAAATGACTATGCTCTTATCTGGTTGCCTTGCTTTTGCTTAAGATACTGTATATCAATTTTGTCTGTATTTGCCCAAGATTAATCAGCTCAGAGCATCAGATGACTCTGCCATCTAATGACATTAAAGTTCCATGGAAACACTGAATTTAGGTTATGAAAGGTTGCAAAAGTATTAATTTACACATTGGAGATATAAAAAATGGAGGCTGTACCGAACTTCTTACCGTGGAATCACCTCTTGGCATCATAAACACTACAGCAGACTGTTTAAGGGGGCATAGACTTAGGGGGTTATAGTGCAAGGAGCTGTGGAATATACCTCCCATGGCTACAGCTTATTGTAGTGGCAATGATGCAAGGAGTCTGTCAACAACACACCATAGTTTTTGTCAAAGCATTTGAATAGTTTTACAAAATGAGACTATCCGGGTGTCTTCACTGCTCTCATACGGCACTCACTGTGGAATTGAACTTACAAGTTTGTCCAGTCAGGCAGTCTCTGCTTGTTATCGCAGCCTCTCCTTTAAAGCTGGATGGCCTACTGCACGTTTTCATAAGCCCAATGTCTACCACGGGCCTTGCTGTAGGCACCGGGAGAATCTCAGTGTTTGTCAAACTATTCTAAAATGATTTGACACAAACTGGAGGGGACAGCACCCACTGACTCCACCATAAACCAACAATGATCTTTAGTAGTTATGGTGCTTAGGGTGTCCCTTGAATGGATTATAATATAGCAATAATAAACATGAACGTAATGGGAGGGTAATGCTCATCCAATGAATGCTATGTAAATATGGGTGATATTTCAAATGTGAAAGTGGAACTTAGATTGCCCCTTTATGTCTGTTGCCATCCATTAACATGTATATGAAAATCTAATAAACAGCCTTGGAACAACTTCACTGACCATTCTTCATACTAATGTCGCTTTCTTGCAAATGAAACAATTAATTGTATTTTTTGCCCTGTCTCAAATATACTAAATGCAAAAGTTTAAATCCCTCAAGAAACATTAGTGATCTTACAAAGATGTATACTAATAGCCAAGTTTGAAAGGAGAGCTAACATTTCTTAATTATTTCCTACTGCGTAAAAGGTGTGTTCTAATTGGTGAAGCTGGTTATTAAGTAATTAAAGTATAGGTCCAGCAACATTTTTCTTGGGAGGAATTCCCAACCACAGTGCAGATGCATGAAATTCAATGCTCCTTAGAATTACCCAGGATGAATTTCCTCTCAAGTACTCTCTAGTAGGTTGATGAATGACACCATTAAACCAAATCCCACATTTAATAATCATCTGTCCTTCATATAGAGAATAAAACAAAATATAAACAAATCAAAGAATAACTCTCCCAGTTCAGATGCAAACACGTAGGTAATGCTTCCATATTACCAATGCGTTTAGCTCTTTATCACAACCTGAGTCATTATCTCCCTGGTGCAGCAATGTCCCAAGGCCAAGACCCCACAGCTACCTCGCCACATAAACCCCTTAAAGCCATGTTCACAAAAAAAAAAAACACTTCCCTCAGATTTCTCTACTCCTTATCCATATGCATATAGTCAGACATATGAAGACAGGGATTTGTAGACAATAAGAGAAAAACAATGAAGCAGATTCAGAGAGACAGAGTAAGCCAGAGTGACTACAATATTTGCAGTGGTAGTAGCTCATCTATAGGTGCATTTCACAGAGGCATACCCCACCTTATAACTATTGCTATAATAAGAAGGAAAAAAAAAATCTACAGGGAGTGCAGAATTATTAGGCAAGTTGTATTTTTGAGGATTAATTTTATTATTGAACAACAACCATGTTCTCAATGAACCGAAAAAAACTCATTAATATCAAAGCTGAATATTTTTGGAAGTAGTTTTTAGTTTGTTTTTAGTTATAGCTATGTTAGGGGGATATCTGTGTGTGCAGGTGACTATTACTGTGCATAATTATTAGGCAACTTAACAAAAACAAATATATACCCATTTCAATTATTTATTATTACCAGTGAAACCAATATAACATCTCAACATTCACAAATATACATTTCTGACATTCAAAAACAAAACAAAAACAAATCAGTGACCAATATAGCCACCTTTCTTTGCAAGGACACTCAAAAGCCTGCCATCCATGGATTCTGTCACTGTTTTGATCTGTTCACCATCAACATTGCATGCAGCAGCAACCACAGCCTCCCAGACACTGTTCAGAGAGGTGTACTGTTTTCCCTCCTTGTAAATCTCACATTTGATGATGGACCACAGGTTCTCAATGGGGTTCAGATCAGTTGAACAAGGAGGCCATGTCATTAGATTTTCTTCTTTTATACTCTTTCTTGCCAGCCATTCTGTGGAGTACTTGGACGCGTGTGATGGAGCATTGTCCTGCATGAAAATCATGTTTTTCTTGAAGGATGCAGACTTCTTCCTGTACCACTGCTTGAAGAAGGTGTCTTCCAGGAACTGGCAGTAGGTCTGGGAGTTGAGCTTGACTCCATCCTCAACCCGAAAAGGCCCCACAAGCTCATCTTTGATGATACCAGCCAAACCAGTACTCCACCTCCACCTTGCTGGCGTCTGAGTCGGACTGGAGCTCTCTGCCCTTTACCAATCCAGCCACGGGCCCATCCATCTGGCCCATCAAGACTCACTCTCATTTCATCAGTCCATAAAACCTTAGAAAAAATCAGTCTTGAGATATTTCTTGGCCCAGTCTTGACGTTTCAGCTTGTGTGTCTTGTTCAGTGGTGGTCGTCTTTCAGCCTTTCTTACCTTGGCCATGTCTCTGAGTATTGCACACCTTGTGCTTTTGGGCACTCCAGTGATGTTGCAGCTCTGAAATATGGCCAAACTGGTGGCAAGTGGCATCGTGGCAGCTGCACGCTTGACTTTTCTCAGTTCATGGGCAGTTATTTTGCGCCTTGGTTTTTCCACACGCTTCTTGCGACCCTGTTGACTATTTTGAATGAAACGCTTGATTGTTCGATGATCACGCTTCAGAAGCTTTGCAATTTTAAGAGTGCTGCATCCCTCTGCAAGATATCTCACTATTTTGACTTTTCTGAGCCTGTCAAGTCCTTCTTTTGACCCATTTTGCCAAAGGAAAGGAAGTTGCCTAATAATTATGCACACCTGATATAGGGTGTTGATGTCATTAGACCACACCCCTTCTCATTACAGATGCACATCACCTAATATGCTTAATTGGTAGTAGGCTTTCGAGCCTATACAGCTTGGAGTAAGACAACATGCATAAAGAGGATGATGTGGTCAAAATACTAATTTGCCTAATAATTCTGCACTCCCTGTATAGTCAGTGGGGGTTGCAATTATCATGAAAAGTGTAGATTATTGCTTCTGTCTTGACATATGCTGGTCAAAATGTTTGTGGGAATTGGGAAGATGTCAGACAACTATTGTAGCAATGTGTGTGTGAGGATGCTGTGAGTGTCAGAGGTGCAGTGTGTGTGTGAGGGTGCTGTGAATGTCAGGGGTGCAGTGTGTGTGTGTGATGGTGCTGTGAGTGTTAGCGGTGCATTTTGTGTGTCCTGTGAGTGTCAGGGGTGCAGTGTGTGTGTGTGTGTGTGTGCTGTGAGTGTCAGGGGTGCAGTGTGTGTGCTGTGCGTGTCAGGGGTGCAGTGTGTGTGCTGTGCGTGTCAGGGGTGCTGTGAGTGTCAGGGGTGCAGTGTGTGTGCTGTGAGTATTAGGGGTGCAGTGTGTGTGTGAGGGTGCTGTGAGTGTCAGGGGGTGCGGTGTGTGTGGGGTGCTGTGAGTGTTAGGGTGCATTTTGTAATGTGTGAGTGTCAGGGTGCAGTGTGTGTGAGGTGCTGTGCGTGTGAGGGGTGCGGTGTGTGTGTGTGAGGGTGCTGTGAGTGTTAGGGGTGCATTTTGTGTGTGCTGTGAGTGTCAGACGTGCAGTGTGTGAGTGAGGGTGCTGTGAGTGTCAGGGTGCAGTGTGTGTGTGTTTGTGTGTGATGTGCGTGTCAGGGGTGCAGTGTGTGTGTGTGTGAGGGTGCTGTGAGTGTCAGGGGTGCAGTGTGTGTGAGTGAGGGTGCTGTGAGTGTCAGGAGTGCAGTGTGTGTGTGTGTATGTGTGTGCTAGTTAGGGTGCTGTCAGTGTCAGGGTGCAGTGTGTGTGTGTG